CCCAGAGGATGCCAGGGGATAATACCAAAACCCTATATATCAATTTTTTCCCTATACATACATACCTATAATAAAGTTTAATTTATAAATTAGGCACAGTAGGAGATTAACAACAATAATTAAATAGAACAATTACAACAATATGCTATGAAAAAGTTATAGTGATAAATATCTCTCTCTCAAAATATCGTATTGCACTTGTGAGGATGTGAGACGATACGATGTCTTTGTGATGAGATGAAGCGAGGTGAGTGACTAGGCATCGTGATGTAGTATCACTCTAGCACACAGGGCACTGCCATACTGCAAATGTCGCTCTGATCACGAAGTTGGCTACTAAGTGACTAATGGGTGGGGCGCATACACCGGACATACATTGGGCAAAGGGATGATTACCGACCCCCATGGGATGGAGTAGATGATGCGAGATTTCTTCATGCTACTCAGAACGGCATGCAACTTAAAATTTATGAATGACTTCTGGAATTTTCCATTGAGTATTTTCAAAATGTGGTTGACAGCATAACTGAAACCCCCAAAAGAAAACCGTGGATAAGGAGGAACTACTATATTACTAAATATAGTTGATCCTTGAACAACAGGAAGTTTAGAGCCACCAAACCTATGCAGTTGAAAATCCATATATAATTTTTTATTTCCCAAAATTTTACTAATAGCCTACTGTTGACCAGAAGTCTTAGCAATAATATAAGCAATCAATTAATATATATATTTTGTATGCTACATGTATCATATACTGTATTCTTATAATAAAATAAGCAGAAAATGTTTGGGGGAAAATTATAAATGAGATACAAATATATTTACAGTATTGTATGTATTTATTGAAAACAATCTGCGTATATAAGTGGACTGTCACAATTCAAATGCATATTGTTCAAGGCTCAACTGTAAATCAGGGACCTTTATTTTTTCAGTGACTAAAAAAGTATTTTCATTTTACTATGCATGTAAAATGTACTATTCTCTCCCAAGGTCATTTTACTGTGAACATGAAATATACTGTTCTCGTCCAAGGTCACTGTAGTACCATGATGTAGATGTATTTATTAGAGGCTGTTACCAAGGTTAGTTACTAAGTAACAAATCCAAAGTACAACATAAACAGTAGAACGGACAAGTTCTATTTATTCTGCGCTATAAAAAATCAACAATTTTTTCTAGATCTAGTAACTTGATATTCCAACTAATTTTCCCTCTATTTCTAAATCTCATTTAAATGTAACATTTTCTGTTATGCTAAGCCTACCATTTGAGATAATACTTAGAGGAATGCTTTTAAACTGGAGAGTATATCAGTGGACCAGGGTACCCTATCATTACTGCTATTATGATGCAATAGGCAATTTGTGGAACAGGAAATAGTTGAGCTCTGAGTCCTGAATTCTTTAAATATTTAGAATGTGGGGGACTGAGGAAAACCCATTAAAGAGAAGGAAAAGAACAGCTCATGGGATAGGAAGAATCTAATGACAGTCTTTATAAAGAAAGACTTGGGGTGACCAAAGAGGATCAGACTGCTGTGTTGGCGCTCTGAATAAACCTGTCTTCACACATCCTATTGTAACTACTCTGCCGGAGGATGCTGAGAATGCCCCTGGGAAACGAGTCATATAAACACACCCTTACCAGACTTAGTTTTCATTTACAGGTTTCTCAGTTAAAGTAATATTACTTTTTAAATAGTTACACATGCTGCTTAATACTATGTGAGCAATAATGAATATGACAATAGGAAAAGACTTAAAATTACCCTATTTTTGGAAATCGCTGTCTAAATCAACTTGTGATTAAATTCATGTTGCCTGAGGTTGTCACTGTGAACCACCTGATCAAAATTAATTTTCTCATGGTTTATATATATATATATATATATTAAAAAACAGAGTTGTTGCAAATTAAATTACAATATCATCTATGAATTGTAAGCAATACTTCAAGTTTTCAAAAATACACATTGACTAGTTCTCTTACAGATTTTCTTTAGTAGTCTTCAGGTTTGTTTTTCAACATTCGAAACTATCAGAATTTGGGGACATTAGAAGAATAGTCAAATAGTTATAAAAGTATCAATGGCAGTGACAGTTTGCTCAGCATGGCTAAAAGAGCTTTATTCACTGGTGTTTGGAACTTACATTAGTTGGCTACTTTGAGAGGATGGCAGGTGTCAGAGGTGAGTGGAAATGAAGGTTTAAAACCCCTTCAATCCTGCGACCGAAGTTACTAGTGAAATATACCTACTTATATAAGTGAGCCCAAGTCAATACAATAAAAATATAAAATAAGTTTCTGTAACATGGGGATTTGAAAGTCATTCTCCTGACATAAGAAAATATTTTCAGTTTTCCAAGACTGAACATGAGGTATTGGTATAGATGGCTGCATTTTACCAGAAACGTAAGTTCACATTTAATAATAGTCTACAGGTGCAATACAAATAAAGATAGTTTAAAAAGCTAAATCACTGTTAAATTATTTGATATCGCTGGTGATGAAAATGCAATGATACCTAAGGGTCCGTAAGTGTTTTGGCTGTGAAACTTTGCCAATCGATGTATATAGGCCCTTCTGTTGCATGACTTAAACATGAACAAAACAGAGACAGAAAATCAGTGTAAGTGACAATCTGACTAGTAAAATATTTAACAACTTGAATGTCTGCACAACTTGAGCAAAATCATCAAAGTCACATGGCACGGTTATCCCTTATAATTATATATAGAAATAAATAAATAAACTTATTTTTAGGTGACGAGTGAACTGTGTTCTACCTATGTTGTATTCTACACAGAATACACATCAATGTAAGGTAGAAGTCGTGGTGTATTTCAAGTCCTAAACACAGATGGCACCCTCCAAATTCTTACAGGACAATATTTTAACATCAGTAAGACCGTGTAAAACTATGTGTTAATTTGTTTTACCAATACATCATACTAGTCAAACATGGGAGAAATCGTACTGTGCCTTATAAAAATAGACGCATGCCCTGCCCTTTGCTACCCTCCCGGTCTCTGTTTCAGCTTCCTCTCCAGAGTGGTTTCCTAAGCACTTATTAAAAATTGAAAGGCAACAGTTATAAACTCATAGCAACATAATAGGTAAACCACTTATAGCAGATATGGATTTGCTGAAAACCACGTATATTTTAAATCTCCCCAATTCTGGTGGAGAGTTGCTTGTATCATACCCATCCATTTTGGCAGTAATTGAAAACAGGGTTTTGAAGTAAAACATTCATTCTTCCACCTTGACAAGTACAGTTCTAGGAGAAAACTATTAACAGCTGAATATCCTCCATTTTCTCCACTTCTCTTGTGAAACAAGCCAAGAAGGGGCACCTATTAACACGTGACAAGTTCTTCAGCTTATAAACAATTTTAGGAGTAAAAAATCTCTATAAAATTACCAATTCCACACACACACAATTTATATTAAAATGAAATTTTAACCTAAGCTATCTTTGTAATAAATTTTATGACTTAAAATTCAAAGGGCAATAAAATTATAGCACACATCAATACTAAAGATAGAATGAGAATGTGATATTATTCAACATTACCCTAATAGATAAGTATCATAATTCCAAAATACAGTGGGGGATATTTTAACTCTTAGTAAAAAAAATTAATAAAACTGTTTTTATTTCATTTTTTCCTTCCTGTGAGAAACTATATTAAAACCAATAATGAGAAGACATATCCTTATATGTTCCTACAAGAGAAGATGTTTAATTTTCACTAGGAAATTGTATTAACACATTGAGGAATTTTGTGGCTTTTTATTCAATGGCTGCTCCAAGTGTAAAAAATCCCATCCACTTACCTTAAATGGTCCGCTTACCTTCTATATTACATTTATTACTGTGTTTAACAGAAAAACACAAGTCTTTATACTAATCTTCCCTTTGATTTTGCATCTCTGCTGGCTCCCATTTTTTTGATTAATGTTTAGCTGGTAAATGAGATCCTAGGAGGAATGAGGCGTCAGTGCTTGAAGCATTGGAAGTGCTTCAAACTTACGACAAGAGAACTAGATATCAACTAAATCCTTCTCCCCTCAATGGAAGGACATGTCCAACTGGTCCAAAATAACCTGTGGGGACTAAGAGGGGGACGGTCAGACTTACCGCCATGCAGGCACAGGGGTTCGGTATGACCCAGATAAATCTGTAGCTGCTCTGGGTACAGTACCTTCCACACTTATTTCTCAGTTGCTAACTTTGGTTGTCTCACTTTGTGAACAAATACAGGTACACAGCGGTGGAGACCAGAGCACCTACACTCCTCATTTTGCATGTTTAACACAGAAAAGTGAAATTTATTTGGTGATTTTTAAAAAAAACATTGGTAGCTCCATCTTTTGTGGTATTGACCAGGCCAGCTATAACAGAATTGCTTATCAAACCCATGCAATCAAAAGAAAGTGAAAGATCAGTGAGCATTTTTGGAAGACCAAATCTGCAAGAGTAATTCCAAGTAGTTTTTTTTAACTATCACTAACCATATTCTTAACCAGTTTCATTGTAATTTGACTATGATGAGTATTTACTAAAATAAAATATTTTGGTATTATGGCATGATAATATTAAAATGCAGCATTTGTTTTTTTAGTAGGGCTTATTCATTGTAGTTTCACATTAATTACCAATACACACTTAATATCCATCATACTAGTTACTACTTATTTTATACCCTAAGGATTATCCCTCTTGAAAACATACAAATCTTAGAACAGATGAGCATGTAGTCACTAGTTTTTCATACAAAAGTATTACCTCCATTTAAAGCCATAAGTTAAAAACAAAGAAAACCCCAAGAATGTAGGTCCTAAATAACTAAAAACAGGATCATTTTCATTTCTAACTCCTCTTACATGCTTCTAAATTCACTGTCCCTCTTTAAATTCATGGTAATAATTGTCCTTATGGATATTTCTAAATCAGTTCCTCAAGAATGGGCTTAGCATCACACACTCACAGTCTGCGATGTTCAACGTCCTCTTGACTTCTCCACTCCCCGATCCCCCACAGCCGTCTTCATCATCACAGTCCCCGCTGCCCTGCTCAGCCAGGCCGCCGCCACTGCCCACGGGCAGCTCCCACTTGTCCGGTTTGGGGGACCTGCCTTGTAACAGCTAAAGGTGAATACAAAAAGCATTTATTCAGAGCAAATTCAAGTCATCTTAGAATGCTGTTCAGGGACCTATGAAGAAATTAGAATTATTTTCTTACATGAGTGCACTATCTTAATGTAGACACTTTACCAAATCAAGTCTACAAGAAAAGTTTAAAAAAAGCCTGAAATAATAACAAATAATAAGCAAGGTCTTACAGCCAAAAGAGCTATGACCTGAATATTTGCTCTGTGCTAAAGATTCGGAAGGCAAATAAAACCAGGTCTTCTTGCTCATGGAGAGTTTGACTACAGACTCCTTTGTTTCTGAATAACAATATTTAGGTATGATGTCAAACTCCAATATAACACAACTCCCTTTGCAGTATATTGGATGATAATATTGCACTGTTTTAAAACCAACAATCCAAAATTTCTCAAACAGTAGATTACTAAAATGGTACTATTGTTCCCAAAAAGATTCATTTAAAAGAATCTGGAATTTTGGACATACACATTTTGAGCTTATTTAAACTTTCTTAGATCAAATACACAGTCCAATGCATATAGCACAGAACTAAACCTTGGAACAAAAGACTTAAGTCCTGTTTCCATTTCTACAGATAACTTAAGAAACTTAACCAACTTGGTTCTCAAGTATTTCATTTATTTTTATGAGCAAAATAGATGGAATAGCCATTTTCCCTAGAGCACAGGAGTGCTGGTAATACTTTTGAATAACAGTATAAATGCCTGAACTCCTTTTCAAAAAGGTGGTTTTATAAATAATAGAATGTTTCACCGAAAGCAAAAACTGAGTACAATGATCCAATGTATGATACTTACCCCTCTGGGCAGTTTTGGAGAACATGTGACTAAGCATGAGCACTAGAGGGTACTGCTATTTTATGAATGAACTATACCTCAGCTGAACACCTAATGGGCATTTAAAACCTCAGGGCATTTTATGGAAGTATTATGGTCGTCACTTCTCAGGGACTTCCTAAACAACAGTATTGATTAGCAGACAATAATTAAACATACAACCCAAAGAGAGCAACTCATATTGAAAAACACAGAGTGAAATAATCTCAGTATACCTAAGACAGATATGGTTAGCATTTAAAAGACATTTACTCTAAGCAACTACACTTTGGTAATTCACCAACTTTCAGAATTTAAAAAAAATTCACCATAAATTCTGAAATATTACAATTCCTTAAAATGTGTGTTCCCTAACAAAAATGAAATGCTAAAACAACTTGACAATAATTTAAAAATTCTTTTCAGAATTTATTTCTATGTAAGAGCATTTCCCCATATTTATTAATAGGTATGACATTTAAAAAGAAGGATGGTCACATGGATTTAGACAATGTTAAGCTACTACATTTAATGAACAGACATGCATGCTTCTTCCTGTAGGGAAGATACAGATATATAACACAGCCCATAACACTTCAGAGTCCAAAAAAGGAAAGGATAGATAATGGTATTACTTGATAACACGTACCCTTTGCAAGGTAGCATAATCATAAAAGGCTTCATCACTAAGGTCCAAAATACTTATATTTGAATCCTGATTCTGACATACATTAATTGTGAGACATTGGGCCTTGTGCAAGTTACTGAATGATTAACTCAGCTCCCTTGTATCTAAAATAGGGACAATGGGGGGTCCGGGGGGGGAGGCTGTGGTGGGTCCCCGGATATACCCGCAGAACTTTGGACCATCAATCAAGGATTGTGAACTTCTTGGATCTGTTTGCACTCAAACAACTATTTTTAACAGCAGTCACAACCAAGCCACACGGAAAATCGACAACACGGAGTCCAAAGGACAACTAGATACTCGGCTGGACCGGTATGAGGAGCGAGGCCAGCAGCGGAGCAGGTTAGCAAGAAAAAATTCCCGGGGCGGTGCGCGGCGCCCGCAGGCAACCGAGGGCGCTGATCGGCAGCCAGCTGGCTGCCGGAGCGCACTGGGAAGAGGCGCGGTGATCGGTCAGTCAGTTGGTCGTGCGCATTTACGTGGGGAGAAGCCAGTGAGAAGGGAAGCCGGCGCGGGGCAGCAGGCTCGCGCAATTCCAATCGGATAAACCCCAGGCGTGTGGAGTGACTGGAAACGCTGGGCTAGCGGAGAGGAACACCATTGCTCCCTCTCTGACCCCGCCCCCACACACAGCGTCACAAACCGGCGACCTGGGTCGCCCAGTCCTGGTAAACAACTAAGGCTTCGCTCCGCTCACTTAACAGCGCGAACAGACCAAAAATGGCTCTAGGACAACTCAGAGCCCCAGAACCGATAGACCTAAGTGATGAAGAAATAGCCAGTCTTTCAGATGCACAGTTCAAAACACTGGTTATAAGGATCCTTACAGAACTGGTTGACTTTAGCCACAAATTAGAGAAACATGGAAGCTAAATTAATTGAAATGAATGGGGATACAAAAGATTCCAATAGTAATGGAAAGAAAATTGGGACTCAAATCAAGGGAGAGAACCAGAAGGAAGAAAAAAATGATCAAACAGAAAGGAATGAAGAAATAAGAATTCAGAAAAATGAGGAGAAGATTAGGAACCTCCAGGACATCTTTAAACGTTCCAACATCCGAATTATAGGGGTACCAGAAGGGGGGAGAAAGGAACAGCCACCAGTGGAAAACTTATTTGAACAAATAATAAAGGAGAATTTCCCCAAGATGGCAAAGGAAATAGACTTCCAAGAAATCCAGGAAGCTCAGAGAGTCCCAAAGAAGTTGGACTCAAGAAGGAACACACCAAGGCACATCATAATTACATTAGCCAAGATTAAAATGAAGGAGAGAATCTTAGAAGCAGCAAGAGATAAGGGGACAGTCACCTACAAAGGAGTTCCCATCAGACTGTCAGCGGATTTCTCAAAAGAGACCTTACAGGCAAGAAGGGGCTGGAAAGAGGTATTCCAAGTCATGAAAACCAAAGATCTACAACCAAGATTGCTCTACCCAGCAAAACTTTCATTTATACCTGGGCCATTTTCTTATTGTGAAAGAAAGTACACATAAAACACTCTGCCTAGTGTTAGGACATTAAAAATGATTATATTATTATTATCTACTTTATTATATATTCTATTACAATATTACTTAAATATGCACAGTACATTAGTTGAAAGAATTATTTGAGAAAAATTGAATTATGTGACTTAGGTTAAAATTGTTCTAAGAATTACCTGACAAGTACAACAAAAGCCCAACTTCCTGGTGACAGGTTACAATTCCCTTTGGCCCATGATCTTCTTTCTCAACACCTTCCCCTTTCAACTTGACTTTCCCTTTACTTTCCTAATTATCACTACAATGGTTTCCTGGTAGCTTGGCAAAACAAAGATGGAGTCTCAGAAAGAACAGCTACTTTGCACAAGTCATGAAGACCCCACCCACTGAGTCTAAACTCAAAAATGCAACCCGCCAGATGGTGCATGCAAAACAAAACTTCCCACTTTAGGAGACTGGTTTGGGGTGAAAGCAATCAAATATATTAATTGTCAGAGAATGATTAATTTGTTTACGGTAATTGATAAAGATAACGGAGAACAATTTTTTTTTTAAAAACCTTGCTCTGTTTTCTGCATTTCTTTTTTAGATCACTGAAGTGACCTATGAAATATTCAAAATACATAAATTCACATCTTTTTAAAAAGAGAACTATACGAAACTATATTTTAACTTAATTTAAATACTTACGGTGGGCAGAACTGTAAACTAGGCCCTGAGTTTCCCATTCTAATCCCTGGGACTGTGAATATGATGTCTCCTTCACATCCACCACATTACATGGCAAAAGGAAATTTGCAAATGTAATTAAGGTCGTTAATCAGTTGGCTTTGTGTTCATCTAACGGGAGATGATACAGGTGGACCCAATGTAATCACATGAGTCCCTTAAAAGCAGAAAGTTTGAGCTGCCTGTCAGCAGAAATCAGAGAGATGGAAAGCCTGCAGAGGGAGGAAGGAGTTTTCGACTTTCTTGATCATGCTGTTGGCCTTGAAGGTATAAACTTCAGTGCTCTGAGAGGGCCTGTGAGGGAGGCCCAAAAGTCCTGCGGCAAAGAGCTGAACTACCAGCAGCCTCTAGGAGTGAGAGTGATACACCTCGCAGCTGGCAAGCAATACAGCTCAGTCCTACAACCAAATTCTTTCCACAACTTAGCTGAGCCTAGAGGACGATTCTCCCCACTCAAGCTTAGCTGGCAACCAGACTGCAGGCTAGTGAGCCCTGAAGTGGAAAGCCCTGAGCAGTGAGCCCATTAGGTCTTCTAAACTATGGAATATGAGTCCATAAATGGGAATTTTTAAACTGCTAAATATGTGGTGATTTGTTGTGTGGCAACAGAAAATGAATTCACTCTTTAAGTTCCAAATGGGCCCCTCATGTCTTGGGCATTGTTTTTGTCTAGTTTCTTTTGATTCTCTCACACAGGGATGTCGAACTCACTTTCACCGGGGGCCACATCAGCCTTGCGGTTGCCTTCAAAGGGCCGAATGTAATTTCAACTCCTTAACAGTTAAGGAGCAGTTATATTTAGACAGTCCTAAAATTATTTTGGCCCTTTGAAGGCAGCCATGAAGCTGATGTGGCCCCCGATGAAAATGAGTTTGACACCCCCGTTCTAACATACTCCTCGGAACAAAATGGTCAACATATTCAAGGTAGTACTTTACTGGGAAGATTATACCTCCAGAAACAAGTTATTAGATTTGACCTATTCCCCACCTTTCAGTTTCTCTGCTTTTTTTTACAGTCCCTCTCACTGTTTTCCAAGTCTCTGAGAAAGAGAGGTATGATCGCTGTTTCTATGATCAACTTCTCCAGGTGTATCCATGACCGTGTCTGACCCAGGCTCCCAGACTCCCAATAACCCCATCTCCCTCATGGAGAATCAATGTCACCATGTCTCCTCTGCGTGAAGGTTCTGCCTTCCAAAGGTCACTGTCTTACTCCTCAGTCATCACACATCCACAGATGTTCACTTTCAATC